ACTAAAGGGTGTACAAGTCCCAATCAATACGCATTTAAAGAAAGTCATAGTACAATTGATGCCCTCTTATCGTTCGAAAATTTCGTTTCCAATGCCATCGCAACAAAAAAGCACGTCTTTTCCCTTAGTCTAGACTTCGAAAAAGCCTACGACAGGATCGGCATTCACGTAGTTTTGAGGCAACTTGCTAGATGGAAAATTGGTTCTAGAATTTATAATTTCGTAAAGAATTTTTTGACAAATAGAACTTTCTCCGCAAAAGTTAACAATAAATATTCTAAAACACACAAGCTTCAAAACGGCATACCTCAGGGCTCTCCGCTCTCGGTAGTTCTATTTATAGTTGCTTTTGATGAAATTAACAACATACTTAATAATTACAAAAGAATATCCTATGTAATCTATGCCGATGATGTCATTTTGTTCACTAAATGTAAAGAGTTATCACAAGTACATACGGATTTTAATCAAATCCTTACAGACAATTCCGTTTGGTCACAGAATTCGGGAGCATCTCTTTCTTATGAAAAATGTAAAATGTTACACCTTTGTAATAAACACGCTTGTCAACCGCTTAATTTAAGTATCAACAATGTTAATATTGCGAACTGCGATAGCTTAAGAATCTTAGGTATTATTTTCGATAAAAAACTGACTTACAAAGATCATTGTACTTATATTAAAAAAAACCTAATAACTCGCCTTAATATTGTTAAGTACCTATCGTCGAAGCACTGCTTTGTACACCCAACAACGCTTATAAACATAACGAAAGCACTTATCCTGTCAAAAGTGGACTATGGCCTAACAATCTATGGGCACTGCTCAAAAAGTCAGCTTAAATTAATAACACCAGCATACCACGCAGCAGCTCGGAGAAGCATACGGGCCTTCCCTACTTCACCACTGAAATGTATTTTAATGGAAGCTGGACTTCCGTCCATACAAGAACGAGTAACTCATAACACACTGAGGCTAATTCCTAAAATACTTAACGGCAATAATCGCACGCTCAACAAATTGGTAGCTTCAGAAATTTTAAGAAAGAGACCACTAAAACGTAAGTCCACAATCGCCAGATGTATTTCTTTGGCGAAGGCACTAGGCCTTACAATTACACCAAAGACTCCAGTATTCAAAACACCGCCGCCTTGGCAATGCCTCAATAGTTTTATTTGTTCCGAGCTCATGGCCTACCACAAAACGAATACTTCACCACTAGTTTTTCGTAGTATTTTTTGCGAACTCAATACAGACCTTAAAAACAAAGGTTGGAATTTTTTATACACGGACGCGTCGAAAACCATTTTTCATACAGCATTTGCAGTTGTCGACGAAAACAAAAATACCTTGCGTGCGGGTCTACTCTATCCTTTTTGCTCAGTTTACACAGCTGAAGTAGAAGCGATACGTCAAGCGGTTAAAATTGCATTGATCACAAACAAGAAGTTTATTATCTGCACCGATAGTCTTTCCGCAATTAACATGTTGACTAATGTGAAGAATAAAAACGCCCTTGCTTTGTCAATACGCTCCATGTTGTCAGAACGAAAGGAAACGATAAAAATTATGTGGGTCCCAGGCCATGTTGGCATTGCCGGCAACGAAGCGGCTGACCAGAGAGCAAAACTTGCCACTAACGAACCACTAATTACTTGCCAGGCTGTACTAAATAGTGACGTACTCCTACTAATCCAAAGGCAAATAACAAATACTAAGATACAGAATTGGACCAACTTCAGACATCACTATTCTAATTACAACCTAGATGGAAATAAACCAAGTTTTCCACTGAACGTATCCTGTAAAGATTTAAGACTCTTTACTCGGCTGCGAATTGGTCACTCAATCATCACGCATAGCCACATTCTAAAAGGAACAAATAAACCGCAGTGTCCATATTGCAATTCAAATAACCTCACAGTAATTCATCTTATTGACGAATGCCCATCCTTTAACATAATCAGGAAAGAAGTTTTCGGTATTAATACCCCGTCGAACTACTTAAAAGATGTGGAGACAAGAAACATACAAACAGTCGCAAAATTTGTTAGATTAACGAATCTAAATAAACTGATTTAAAAATGTATTATGTATAGGTTAAGTATATTGAATTAATATTAATAAGTTTTTTCTAGAGAGCCGAAGGTCTATGCAACTAGCGCTCCTTATTTATTGTAAGTCAGTGATTGATCACTTTCTTTCTGTATAATAATAATAATAATAATAACTACTTAGATAAATAAATAAATAAATTAATAAATAAATGAATAAATAAATAAATAACTGAGTAAATAAATAAATAAGAGTAGTCAAGTAAAAGAACACAAAATAAATAGTCAGATAATAAATAAGATAACCAAGACATATAGACAAGTACTACCACACATATACTTAAACACAACACGTTGCACGTCACAAGGCACACATGAAAACTATGCTACAAAAATATCTTTAGCATGGTATACCCCGATTCTCTTTCCACTGGTGTCACCTAGCTCATACATCGAGTTACCAATCGTTTTCAAAACGATGCATTTAACATGCTTTGGAGCTAGTTTAGCATTATAATTTTCCACCTGGGAACTTTGTTTAAAATTTCGGCGGTACACCACTTGTCCAATCTGAAATTTAACTTCTCTACTCCTAGTGTTATATGCCTTTTTACTTCTTTCATAGGCCAACTTCAGCNCTGTTATATGTCTTTTTAACCGACTTCCAAAAAAGGAGGAGGTTATCAGTTCGTCGGAATATTTTTTTTTTATTTTTTTTTTTATTTTTATTTTTTATGTATGTTACCGCATAACTTTGGACCACGCCAACCGATTTTGATAATTCTTTTTGCATCGGAAAGGTAGTGTCTCAGAGGTGGTCCCATACTAATCTGGTTAAGGTCCGATCAGCGGATCATGAGATATATATATATATATATATATATTTTTATATGGGAGTTGAAGTCGGTTTTTTTTTTTGCTAAAAATTACTAGTTACTTCTCACATAGGCCAACCTCAGCTCTCTCCTTATTTTATTCCTAATTAACTGGGCTCTGTCCGCTGGGGTTTCTATCGCACAATCTTCCTCCCCAACTGTGCCCAATCTTCGGTATAGCTCATATGATGCAGCATGCTGTATCATAGGCATACCGAAGAGGGCATAGTACGGGGAGCTATTAATCGCAGTGTGTACCACACTGCGCAAAGCGAAGGCGGCATCGCTGATGTGTTTATCCCAGTTCT